CTTAGAGAGAAAAGTTAAGGGTGATTTGCCCAATCATTTTTGTTTTCTTCCATGCTTGTTCCACATTCCAGACTTACTGTGATGATAATGAGCGAGACCCTTTACTTTTTTACGATAACTTTCAAAACCCGCCATCAAAATTCTATCATGCATTTCGATATCTTCTCCTCCCCATTTGTCCTTGAATTCTTCCACATTCATCCCTCCAAATTTATCCCAGTCATCTTTGTAAATGCCCACTAAACCATAACCATTGAATTCCCAAAAAGATCCCATGTCGACTGCAGTATTTGTTCCACACTCAAAACGCTGAAGAATTGGCGAGTAGGACTGAACTCCTTTTAGTGTATACTGTATAGAAAAAAATCAGAGAAAATTAAGGTAAAAACAACAAGAATAATAATGAATCAACCTACACAGCAACAATCAAACCGACCAGAAAACATAAATACTGAGCTATAAGAATAACCTGGAATCATCTTTTGACGTCAATAATGACGTAGGTATCGATTTCAAAGAGGTTGTCGGATAAAATGGTGATTGCAAAACCGAAAGCCTTGAGTTTTGCTATAATTGATATTAACAATAACTGATTTTTACTTCAAGATAGTCTGTGGTAATCATTGGCTCCTTTTGGTCTCCATTTATTTTTCACACAAGATGAACCCAGCCAGAGAAATTTCGCATTCAAACAGGCGTGTATCGTCCTTTACGCATATACGCATGTGCGTACTAGTGGCAAGGAAAATTTTTGAGATTTGATGCCTTTTATAAGCTCTCGATGCYCCCAAAACGCCGGAAATCGCATTTCCAAGAGTTATTATTTCAAAATTTCAACCAAAATAAGTCAATGATGCATATCAAGCAACAAAAGRACGCAATCTTAGTACATACCTTGCGTATGTCATCTATGTAATTTGAGGGTATTTCAAGATGAAGGTCTAAAATAGTAACTATGCCATCAACAACTGCTCCAGCAGCTTGCTGTAAACCAAGCGTTTTGTGGAAATCACCACGATTGCCAAGATACAAGTAGTTAGGCAGTGAACTAGTTTCTAAAGCTTGTCGTATGTCAGCATCAGGACAAAGAAAATCATTGATTATAACATTAAAGTTSTTGTCTTTGGTTTGTTGGTAAATCTTTTCCATGTTTTGAATGAAATGATACACCCATCTTCCCTGGTTCCGTCCTGCAGTTACAATAACGTTAACCATGCTAGTTTTATTCCACTTAAAGCCCTCWGGGTAGCAAAGRTACTTGCTGGTTCTTGACAAATAAAGATACTCTGAAAAACGTACACTTTTCTTTGTGTTTTTATCCAGTAGTTGTAGCTCCACAAGGAATCTKCCTTTCTTTTCTTCAACATTAATGACATTTTCCAATTTGAAATGGCTGCAAAGCGGAATCAAGAACTTTTTAGATATATTTACGAAAGATAATCACAATCTAATAAATCAAGCAAATGAACCTATTAGTTTTTTTATAGATGAATGTTAACTTTATTTCTGGATATTCGCCGAGAATATTTCCCACTTTTTCTCTCATTTTCACAAGTCCTTGTTGAGGAAAAAGCTATGAACATTTACGACTTCCGCTTCAGATATCTCTCTTCCTTTACTTCTTGATAACCTCTTAAAATGTTCAAAGAAAGTTTGTTTTATTCAGAATCATCAATCTTTTTTTATAGCGGCAGTATAGATATCGCTCGCTTTGTGTGAATATTGTATYATTTGATTAGGATCAAAAATTAAATGAATTTCTTTTCATATGTCGTCGGTGTCTGATACGTTAGTGTCGTCCGTGTAAACCAGGCTTTTACAATAAATTGAAAGGAAGTTTTTCTAGAAATGATTACAAGAAAGCATGGCACTAATGTATACTAAAGATAAAACTTGTATTTATTTAATCAGTTTCAGCTTCCATTTCTCTTTGATCGATCTCAGCTTCTATGTTCTGTGATTTTGTGCAAGACATCGATTGTTCTGTTGTCAGGGTATAGTGCCATGTTGCAAAGCGGGCTTGAGTGCAATAATATCAAAATGAAGCTAAGTCGCATGCATTATAAGGTACATCTAGGTTGTTTTTTTTTCGTTCGATGATACACTCTGTAGAAATATCCATTTCATGCGTATAAACGTGTAGTTAAGGCTACGCCGGACAAATCCAAGATGATTATCTCATATAAGATAGAATGAATTAATTACGAGGGGGGGAAAATATAAAAATGGCTTTAAAAATCAATCTTTATTCATAAAACTGTTTATACTTATTAAAAAAAAAGAAAAGAAAGAGAAAGTCTTGAAAAGTCTCAAGAAATGAAGTAGAAAAAATTTACGGCTTCACGGAGGGCTCGAACCGCGAACCACGCAATTTAAAATACTTTGACACAGCCGTGAAAGCAACACAACTGTTGAGCCTGGCCCCCYTGTGGTTTTCTCGCAAGTACACAGCTGCGATTGAGACACGTGCACTTCTTAGAAGGTCAAATCTTTCGTTTGATGCTTATACATGTGCAAGCGGTGGGCCACGCTAGAAGTATTCGCATTAAAAGACTAACAAGAAGAAGAATTCATTAAACCTTTTGTGATTGATACTAATAACAATGTTTTTACTTATGGTTTGAACTGAAACTAAATATCGTGACCTCAAAACAGACACATTGAAAGCTTCTGTCAGCCGTAGTACACCTCAGTAAACTATAGAAAACACATTTCTCTCGATATCTTCTTCGTAATATTTTTGAGCTAAATTATTTCGATATGATGAAGCTAATATAARGATTTCATTTTAATATAAAACGTTTTTCAAAATAACGTCAACTTTTGAACAAAATACACTACATCTCGGGTGATGCTGAACAAACGGATATTTTGATTACGTAAGTGCAGTGCAGCAGGACCATTTTAAAAGGAACTTCCAATCATAGAATTAAGTTTATTGTGTGTGATGGTGGATTCCAGGATGTTTTATGCTCCGTTTAGTCAAAATGTGAATATTTTTCTCTCGACTGCGATTGACGACACAGCAACCCCGAAAGTGAAAATTTATTAGTCGTTATTTTCAAAAACCAAGTAGCGAGTTACAAAGAGCATAGTCAGATTATCTAGAATACGAGCTTTAAGGCTTGCAGCTTACTTTCTGATGAAGATATCAGCGAATAAAGATTTGAAATATTTGGTTAATTTGTATGGGGACGCCATCTTGGATGATAACTTTGATCATCCAAGATGGCGGCTGGTTTCAAATTGACTTCAAAAACTCTGATTTCCTTGATTTCCCTTGTAAATTTTGTTCGAATTATGGCTTTATTTCAAAGAAAAATCACCTTAAGTAAGTTTTTACGGAGTTGAAAGAATGATTTATCCAATTTCGAAGTTTTTGTTTACGATCTAAAAGTAGAATAAATTACTCCGCACAAACTAAAACTTTTGTGATTCGCCACCAAAGCGTTAAATTCGTCTGAAAATTTCCATACACGCTATCTAGAAATATATTTAAGGTAAACTGTAAGAACAGCTCTTTGGCAAAAATACTTTTGGATATCAGAGCAAATGCTGGATTAGTGTTGATTGAATCCGCTTTCTTAGTCGGATAACGATTTGCGTAAGAAATTTTGACAAACACAAATTCGC